ACTGAATATATCACATTGTAAACTTGCTTAATATTGTAAATGACTTATTCCCACTTTTCACTACACTTATATCTGACTCTTGATTAAACGGTTGAACAGATGTATCTGTGGTCACGTGACTCAGTTGAACCCATGTAACACTGCCCAGAAGAATTGATGTGCTAACTTCTTTGTCAAGGTGTTAGAATTTCAGCCGACAAGTCTCAAATTTGAACATTTCACTTCGGTTCTAGCTGATAGGTAGTATCATGTTATTCTCAGAGTGCAGTTCATGTAAAAGTGTACCTAGTGAATAAATTAATGTTTTTCATATTCGTATGTACGTCTTTCTGAATTTCGTTACACATTCATAAAACAACTACATCTATAAACATTGCATTTTTTGCATTTGAGTTGCGCCAAATCTGACAGTACTAGTCGTCTAGTCTGCTTGAACTACCTCAGTTTCGATCACTACCAATCAACTTCGAAAGGCAAACTTTAGTGTGAAGTGTTATTAGACATCCTTATCCTAAATCTCATTTTATCTAAGTAGCATTTTTGATCTCAAAATATCTCACCATTGTGCATTTAGACAACATGAGATCTTTTGAATTCCTCATCACCTCTATCTTTCTCTTTCGAAAGTTCTCTCACTGAATTATACTTCTTGGATAATATCTTGGAACCCTAATCTTCTCGATTACCACTAATACTTCTACTATCTGTACCACTATGGGATTTGAACTGACGATTGCTTGTCTGTGCTGAAGTGGTATGGCAACCTACACTTATGTACCTACGTACGGAGTTCTACGTTGTAACTGACTGACTGATGAGCCACTTCAGTTTTTCATGCCTAAATCAAAACACAAGTCGATAATATTACTTTACAAATGTAAAAGCCTGGTTGGTATCCAGAACATCTTATCTGGTACTGTTAGACAGAAACGTAGTTTAAAATTCGACACGCTTTGTTGCAACCTTTAATGGTTTGCTATTTCTAAACAAAATGTTAGATTATGCTGTTTAGTGATGAGTTTATCGCCAATATCGTCTTACAGCATTGGCTCTAGTGACTTGTGTATACTCCACTTGCAACGCTGTAATGGTTTCAGTACCAAACACGCCTAAGAGAGTACCTGAAACTTAAGGATATTATGGGGTCATCTGTTGGCTCATCATCAATTCTTGAATAAAGTCCTACTAATCAGATAAACTAGTCATCATAATTTGGAGGACGAATTCCTGTAGGAAAAAAGTAAAGTCATAATGTCGGAAAAAGATATTAATACTAGGTTGTGTAGTGTTAATAATCATGATAATAATAGTTAAGGATTGTGTGAAAATCAAAAAGCCATTTATAAATTGAGCTAACATTAGAAATAAACGGAAATATTAATAATTACGACTTAAAATCCAAGTTAACCAAAATCCTACCTATCAATTAAGTTGTGTAACAACAATCAAACAAACGATTTAAACTTGAAGTCAATGCATGAAATGCTGACTGATAGACGATGGGCAACATAGAAAGAACATGGTACGTACATACATCATTTCAAGTTTCCATTACCTTATTAGCAAATATATACAGCTAACTTGGATCACCGAATGATTAGAAATCTAAGACAAGATTACTAGCCAGATCAATTTTTTCTTCTAATGTGATAACATGCTTTTATACAAAGTATGGACGTAAAATAAAGAAGATAAAATATCATAGACGATTAAAAGAAATTAGCTTGTAGATCACTTATTCTCTAATTAATTAATATCTGACTAACCTAATCCATCATGGCACCGATTGAAATCCTAGAGATTGCTTAACTCTATAGCTTGAAATGTTATCGCTGTAGTCTAGAGTAAGATTTCGTAGATATCCTGCTGTAATTTTCAGTTAAACTACATAAAAGTGAAATAAACTTCCTTAATTCCCAACCACCGACTGCCTCGTCGAGCTATATTTTGCGGTGTAGGAGTAGGTTGGAAGAAAGCCAAGAGGGGGGGACAAACCAAAACATGGCACAAACCGATGGATGATGTACCTGACAACTAAATTGAGTCATGTCGGTAAGTGTAGACTAGCTGGTTGGGTTTCGCGAAATGATACTAATCAGTGGTTAGAGATCTTGAATGACATGGCTCAAAACCATTTGCATTAGCGCGGATGCATCCATTCTTTGTGTTCTCTTAAATTCTAATCTTCTGAATTCTTCATGACCGTTTTTTCTCTCTGTTTTAATTGATTCCTCTGGAGTGTACATCTCGAATGAAATATTCGATCATTAATTTTGTTTGATTACTGCTAATACTTCTGCTACCTCTACTACTTCTATGGGATTAGAATTGACAATTGCATCTCTTTGTGCTTATGTGATGTGGTAACTTATACGGATGTACGTACGTACAAAGTTCTACGTTGAAAATGACTGTCTGACTGAAAATTCCTTAGTTAAGGGATGTCTTGTTGGCTGTATATTTAACTAAACTGTTTCTGTTATTAAATACTTTTTATGTATCTGTCTATTGATTGTACCGTTCCTTTATGTCTTATCCTGCTCAAAATGTTTCATTTACGAGGTCAATGCCCGACTTACCACTACTTTCGTGCATAAAACTTCCTAGGGTTGGTCATGGTTTTCTCGTTATGATATTACATGTTATCAATGTTTTAATCATCAATTACATCACATAGTAAAACTTCATCAATGGATGTTTGGAGTTATAGCGTAGTCGTTAAACTAAGTTGACTTTAAAAAACGTTTACGTTGCTGGTTCCAATCATGCATTATTAGTTAATAACTCATTTAACAAAGTCATGATTATGTCTTTAAACGTTGGTGATCACCTTCGGTTACCTGAATTAAAATAAATGGCCGTATTTGAATCAGTAGCAGCCTTGTGTCAGTCAGTTGCAAGGTAGAACTTCGTACGTAAGTACATCAGCACAGAAATGTAATTGTCAATTCAAATCCAATAGTAGAAGAGGTAGTAAAGGTATTAGAAGTAATCGGAGAGGTTAGGATTAGAAGATATTATTCAAGAAGTGTGATTCAGTGAGAAAAGTTTAGAAAGTCAAAACTAGAAGTGTTGAGGAATCCAGAAGATTAGGATTTGAGAGAACACAGAATAAATGCACCGGCACCATTGCAAACGATTTTGAGCCATGTCATTCAAGGTCTCTAACCATCGATTATTATCATCTCGCGGACCCCAACCAGGTAGTCGACAATTACTGACATGGCTAAGTCCACTCGTCAATGACTTCATGGATTTCTGCCATGTTTTGGTTTGGCCGCCCCTAACTTTCTTCCAACATACTCCTGCACCACAAAACAAAGCTCTTCGATGCAGTCGGTGGTTAGGCATACGCAACACATGTCCCAACCACCCCAACTGACGAAGTTTCTATACTTCATCTATTGATTAGCCATCCTTACCTAGCACCCGATTCCTAATAACAGCGTTGCTCACTCGGTTGTCCCACGATATACGAGCAATGCTTCGAAGACACCTATGATCGAAAACCAGTAACCGACGAATATCTTCTACTCTCACTGGCCATGTTTCACAGCCATAAAGTAAGACGGAGGAGCGAACTGCTGCACAGTACACTCGTCCTTTAATCAGCAAACGGATATCTCGCCTACGCCGTAAGTGACGCAGGTTGGCAAAAGTCAATCGAGCCTTCTGTATCCGTGCTGATAGCAGCCTTGTGTTTAAAAGATGAATGCTTTAATCATCAAGCTGTTGGATAACATCATTTACTCTCTTAGAAATATACTGCAAAGCCGACCACATAAACTCATGTATTTGGCCAGTTAAATTCTACTATCATCATCTGGCAAGAACTTGTATTTATGACGTGAACCGCTAGACAGTTTTCAGTTAACTTTAATATTTGAAATCATGAATCGATCAATGTTAAACTACCACCATTAGAAACTTGGAAGCACTGAGAGACGGCCGTTTCGTCCTGGTGTATGGGATTGACTACTCATCAGCTGTGCTCATCCACGATTCCTGCACCCCCGCAGGATTCGAACCCGGGACTTTCAGTCTTACGCGCGAACGCCTAACCTTATGGACCACTTTAATATGTGATAAAAGTGCAAATGTTTGCTGGTGATTATTTTGTTTCTGCAAATTTATCGTTTTGCTTTATTACACTTTAGTTCTTTCGGACTTATATCATAGTATCTCATTCGATTTAACTACTTTTATTGAATATCTCGATAGCTTGAAAATTTGTCAACATCATATCTATGTACTTATTGTCCGCTCGGCCGTATCTGCTACCTTGACTTGACGTGGTGGTCGTCGGGCTTGCCTATCGTTTGATGACCCAACCGAGCTATATTGACTGGAAAATATGTTCCTGAAGGTTCTACCATGCCAGGCAGGTCGATTGGAGAACGATGAGACTAAAACAAGCAACTTAAGGTCTGAAGGCGAAGTCGTATTGCTGACTGCAGCGGTATGTGACAGCAGGCAGTAGATGCTCCCTCGGACAACCAGCATCTGCAGCGATGCTGCCTTCGCACAGCGAAAGGAAGGAACAGGTTAGAAAAGATCGACCCTAAAAAATGTCACACCTCACCCTACCTCACAGATTTCCGTCTCCGGCGGTAAGGGTGCCGCCTACTAAGGGCTTTTAAAAAGAGCGGAGCTAATACTCAAAAATCCTTTCACATAAAAAGGCCTTGCGTCACCGGCCTGAAGCAGTTGTCCCTTGGGCTCTGCGGTCAAGCTCCCAGGTCGTTAAGACCAACACTAATCTATCTTCGTTTTCAGGTTCCTCAAGAAACACCCACGGTGTAAGCAACTGGGAAGTGACAACCCTGTTTGTGCTCTTTGTCTGATTAATCTGTTCACAATTATATTTTATAATCTACTATGCCATATATATATATATATATATATATATATATATATATATATATATATTTCAATGTTCAATTGTTCTCTTGTTATATTTTAGTTATTGAACAATAAATAAAATTCAAAATTAAATTTCAATGACTAATGATGAAGAATTACAACGTCAATTATTACAAGAATTACAAAAACAACGATTTCATCAATTAGGTCATCAGTTAACATCAATTTGTTGGGATAAATGTGTGACCAGCAAATTGAATAATTCACTTGATTCTAGAACTGAGAATTGTATAATTCATTGTGTACAACGTTATATTGATGTGTCTGGTCTATTGACTCGTCGACAAAATGAGGCACGTTTAGGATTTATGGATGTACAATCTGATAATGATAATAATAATACTATTAATTAATTAATAAAATTACATTCATTTAATTATTTCTTACTTTTTCAATTCAAATCTTTAATTTGTTTATATATATATATATGGTGTGAGCTACTTATAAGTAGTATATGACCGTGAGTGTCAGTCAACGTAATGTCTGGCAGCAGCAGAAGATGGGGAAAGATCAAGAAAGGAAGAAGAGTTAGAACACACAATGGAATTTGTGTATGAAATGCATGAATACTGAGTGAGAATGGATTGATGTTGTTTGCAACAGTAACAGTCCAGTTTTTGATATGATGAACTGATATTTTTTGCAAATGAACGATTTACAATATGGTTTTCCGATTTACTGACTGAGTAACTCTGTAATTTTTGTTAAATACAATTTTGGCTGCCCTCACCTGTGTTCTCCTTCACTATATATATATTAGTTCTGTAAACAATTCATTGATCATTTAACTTATAATATTTCAGATGATTCATTTCCCTCTGATACGGTAAGATGTCAGTCAATTGTTTGTAAAATGCTTACTTTCAGTCTGTTGAAATGCACTGCCGCCGGATCTGTATTTTGTTCGGTAGGTTGCGTTTTTTTCCAATAAAATTAATGTTAATTTGAAATTGATAAAACAAACAAACAGATGCCAGTTTCACGTTTATTATCGAATGCTGCTGCCAATGTTAATGCGGAATATGGAATTACAAATATTCAAGATGATGATGATTTTACTAATCGTGTATTAAAAAATCAAGCACCTGTTCTTATTGATTTTCATGCTAAATGGTGAGTTGTTATGATTGTGAAATTATTATTAATTACTTACCCTTGTTACCTTCCAATGAAGTGTAGACCACCGACTAATTTTTATCCAACCTACTGTGTCCTAGGCCTCCAATTCCAGTTCTGTCCAGTTGTTGTTAGTCACTCTTCTCATGTCTTTCTTTATTTATTGGCATAACGTGTGTTTTATGGTCTTCCTCCTTTCCTTTGATCTGGAGGGTTCCAAGTGAGGGCATGTCATGTGACGCAGTCGAGTGCTTTCCTCAGTGTGTTTATCCTATTCACCGCTTATTGACTTAGAATATGCCGATGACATTGTCCTACTTGGTGAAGACGCTGACAAAATGCAGCGTCTTCTGACTACCCTAAGCAACAATGCAAGCATGTTCGGGATGCGGTTTTCCCCCTCGAAATGCAAAATGTTGCTTCAAGAGTGGGTTGTATCGGCACTTGAACTAGTGATAGGGAGTGAAGTAGTCGAACGTGTAGACTGCTTCACTTATCTTGGGAGTCTCATCAGTGCCGATGGCCTGGTGACTGACGAAATCTCGGCACGGATACAGAAGGCTCGATTGGCTTTCGCCAACCTTCGTCACTTATGGCGTAGGCGAGATATCCGTTTGCTGACTGAAGGACGAGTGTACTGCGCAGTGGTTCGCTCCGTCTTACTTTATGGCTGTGAAACATGGCCAGTGAGAGTAGAAGATACTCGTCGGTTATTGGTTTTCGATCATAGATGTCTTCGAAGCATTGCTCGTATATCCTGGGACACCCGAGTGAGCAACGCTGTTATTAGGAATCGGGTACTAGGTAAGAATGGCAGATCAATAGATGAAGTGGTGAAACTTCATCAGTTGAGGTGGTTGGGACACGTGTTGCGTATGCCTAACCAGCGACTGCCTCGTCGAGCTTTGTTTTGTAGTGTAGGAATAGGTTGGAAGAAAGTTAGGGGTGGCCAAACCAAAACATGGCAGAAATCCATGAAGTTATTGACGAGTGGACTTAGCCATGTGGGTAATTGTCGACTACCTGGTTTGGGTCCGCGAGCTGATAATAATCGATGGCTAGAGACCTTGAATGACATGGCTCAAAATCGTTCGCAATGGCGCCAGTGCATTTATTCTTTGTGTTCTCTCAAATCCTAATCTTCTGGGTTCTTCAACACCTCTAGTTTTGACTTTCTAAACTTATCTCATTGAATCATACTTCGTGAATAATATCTTCTAATTCTAACCTCTCCGATTACTTCTAATACCTTTTACTACCTCTTCTACTATTGGATTTGAATTGACAATTATATCTCTGTGCTAATGTGATATGGCGACATGAACTGATGTACTTACGTACGAAGTTCTACGTTGCAACTGACTGACTGACTTATCCTATTCACCAACTCCACCGCTTCTTCCTCCACTGGAATCTGGTTTGTTCTTTCCCACAAAGTAGGTTGTTGCTGATGGTGTCTGGTCAACAAATCCGAAGTAGTTTACGTAGACAACTGTTAATAAATACTTGTATCTTGTGGGTATGATGGCTTTGATAGTTTGCCAAGTTTCTGCCTCATACAGTAAAACAACTGTCTTGACATTTGTATTGCGAATTGTGACATTGGGGTTTTTTGTTTGACAGTTGTTTTGAATTCCAGATATTTACTGTTCACTTGTTTTACCGATCCACGTCAGTCGACCTTTTCTAACGCTTCCTTCTTTGTGAGAAGGCAGCATCGCTGCAGATGCTGGTTATCCTAGGGAAACACCTTACTGCTGTCACACCCCTCTGCAGTCAGCAATACGACTTCGCCCTTCAGACCTTGGGTAGCTGCTTTTAGTCTGATCGTTCTCCAATCGACCTGTCTGGCATGGTAGAACCTTGAGGAACATATGTTCCAGCCAGTATAGCTCGGTTGGGTCATCACACGATAGTCAAGCCCGACCACCACGTCAAGGTAGCAGCTACGGTCGGGAAGAATGGCAAATCAATTGATGAAGTAATGAAAGTTCATCAGTTGAGGTGGTTGGGACATGTGTTGCGTATGCCTAACCACCGACTACCTTGTCGAGCTTTATTTTGTAGTGTAGAAGTAGGTTGGAAGAAAGTTAGGGGTGGCCAAACCAAAACATGGCAGAAAACCATGAAGTCACTGACAAGTGGACTGAGTCATGTGGGTAATTGTCGACTACCTGGTTTGGGTCCGCGAGCTGATAATAATCGATGGCTAGAGACCTTGAATGACATGGCTCAAAATCGTTTGCAATGGCGCCGGTGCATTTATTCTTTGTGTTCTCTCAAATCCTAATCTTCTGGGTTCTTCAACACCTCTAGTTTTGACTTTCTAAACTTATCTCATTGAATCATACTTCGTGAATAATATCTTCTAATTCTAACCACTCCGATTACTTCTAATACCTTTTACTACCTCTTCTACTATTGGATTAGATTTGACATTTGCGTCTCCGTGCTGATGTGGTATGGCAACATGAACTGATGTACTTACGTACGAAGTTCTACGTTGCATCTGACTGACTGATTATGAATTACATTTTATCATTGATTTATATTGACTATAGAACATTGAAAACTAGATAGTATTCAATAGATGTTTTCTTTGTTTTAATTCTTTGATGAGGCGAATGCTAATCATAGTTGATAAGCAAGTGTAAAAAGTGTAACTTATTAACGGCTACTACTCACGAAAGTGTATTATTGACGGAAGTCCTCAAATAATTCATAATCATCATCCTCTTACTGGGGGGGGGAACTCTTCCATATTATATACACCCTGAATCTCCTAAAATGACAATAGTTAGAAAGTTCCCTGTCTCTCTCTCTCTCTCTCTGGAATTGGTTTATATCCTCTGCCAATAAAGTCATTCTCGCTGCCTTTATGCAGCTGTGGTATTTTTGCAAAGGAAATAGAACAAAAATGAATATCTGGTGACTAAACCGCGTTAGTTTGTATGGACGGTGCACTTATAGGCGTTGCCCATCCTCTTCATTACCATTAATACCTTTACTATCTTTTTCACTATGAGATTTGATTTGACATTTGCGTCTCTGTGCTCATGTGGTATGGCAACCTGAACTTATGTACATACGTACGAAGTTCTACGTTGCAACTGACTGACTGACTTATAGGCGTTGAAAAACTCGGCTTTAAAACATTAGTATACATAGACTCTACGATCCTGTGGAAACGAATGGCTTGTAGATCTATTCTGGTCGCCGGTTACTGTAGGACTACATCTAGTGTTTCCTCCCCTAAAAATAACAACCCACTTCTGGTTTGAGTGTTGTGGGAGTATCTCATTTCACATGTTGATAAGCACTCAAAAGGGAACTTCTCTGTTCTCTCCACTAAGCTGAAATAAACTTACCTGCTAACAATTGAGTCCATGAACTTTGAAATAAACTGGAATTTTCAGTAATCTAGTTAACAGCAGTCGTACTTCAATCAATGTCTCCATTAATCACCTCAGTGAGATGAAATATATTAGTAAGATGCAAGGGATTTGTTTGGTTTGGGAGAGCCCGCTCCGAAAAGTCCCCAGAAATGCCACGAAACATCTTATACAATCAGCATTGAATAAAATCTTCGCAGAAACATCTGAAAGATGTGGAATCATGTACCACGACTCTGATTGGATATTCAGCCAAACCGCTGTGGTGCGAGCTACTTATAAGTAGTAGTATATGACGTGAGTGTCAGTCAACATAATGTCTGGCAACAGAAGATGGGGGAAGATCAAGAAAGAAAGAGTTAAAACACAATAGAATTTGTATGAAACACATGAATACTGAGTGACAATGGATTGATGTTGTTTGCAACAGGAACAGTCCAGTTCAATATGATGAACTGATATTTTGCAAATTAACAATTTACGATATAGTTTTCCTATTTTACTCAGTGAGTAACTCTGTAATTTTCGTTAAATACAATCCGGTTGCCCCACCTATGTTCTCCTTCACTACACTACTACTATATTTAGTATGATTCTCGAACCCTCCAGAGGCGTTAAGTTATGAGCGACTTATTTTTTTTTCTACATAAACTAACCTATGAATAGAGCGAGCGTTCATATCACATACTTCGCGCCTTTCTATTTTGTGTTCAAATTGCAGTGTAGATTTAATCTGTGGTTATTAGAGGCAGATGGGGTTATTCAGATGTTACAGACTTATTATTTAGTAAGCAATATCATAAGTTATATGAGAGGTGCACTGTCATTAAAATGATTCAATTTGTTTTTCGTATGTATCAGGTGCTTTTTGATTCATTTTGGGGAGCTAAGTTTGTCTATTTGTTCGAGAACACTACACATTAATCTGTTATTTCTATTTACTTATTTTTTTAGGTGTGGACCTTGTAAAATCTTAGGTCCAAGATTAGAAAATGTAATGAAATCGTATATGAACTCTGTGCTACTCGCTAAAGTTGATATTGATCATTTGGATTCTATTGCTGTAAAGTATAAGGTAGAATAATTTTGACATTTAAACTATGATTTTTTTAAATTTCTGTTATTTGATTGTGACACTTGAGTGAATTGTAAACGCCTACACATTGTTTTCTAATGAATCAAATGTCGAACATCTGAAGTAACGTGAAAGCATGGAGCGGTAACGTTAGTGGTTAAAATATGTCCGATTTTTAACCATACTATGTGACATGTTCCAGTCCCACTTCATTTATTTCAGTTTAAATCGACCTGGTAAGACAGACTGTTAGTGTCTCCCTATGAGTAATGAGTAGCTCAAAGCTCAGTACATGATTTTGTACTTGTTGAGCAAGCTACATTATGAAAACAGTATCAACCCTAAGGATTTTGAAAGGTTTGTAAATGAACGCAATTTTAAGGATTGTTAATTTATAGAGAAACAGTCAATCAGTTACAATGTAGAACTTCGTACATACGTACGTACGTTATTTCCGGTTGGCATACCACATTAACACAGAGATGCATTTGTCAATTCAAATCCCATAATCGTAGAGATAGTAGAAGTATTAGCGGTAATGAAGAAGAAAATTAGGGTTCGAAGGAATTATCCTAGTAGTATAATTCATTGAAATAAACTCGAAAAGAGAAAGATAGAGGTGATGAGAAATCCATAAGATTAGAATGTGAGAGAAGACAAAGAGGGGATGCACCTGTATCATTGAAAATGATTTTGAGCCATTTCATTCAAGGTCTCCTCTAACCATCGATTACTATTATCTTGCGGCCCTCAACTGGGTAGTCTACTACACCTACCAACATAACTCAGTCCTCTTGTCAGTAATACTTCATGGATTTGTGCCATGTTTTGGTTTGGCCGCACCTAGCTTTCTTCCGCAAAATTCTCCGATGCAACACAACATGCACCAACCAAATCACTCTTGATGGAGATGCCTTGGAGGACGTTAATACCTTTACATATCTGGGCAGCATCATCGACAACCAAGGTGGATCCGATGCAGATGTGAGGGCGCGGATTGGCAAAGCAAGGGCTGCATTTCTACAATTGAAAAGTATCTGGAACTCCAAACAACTTTCAACCAAAACCAAAATCAGGATTTTCAATACAAATGTCAAGACAGTTCTACTGTATGGAGCGGAAACATGGAGAACTACCAAAGCCATCATCCAGAAGATACAAGTGTTTATTAACAGTTGTCTACGCAAAATACTTCGGATTTGTTGGCCAGACACCATCAGCAACAACGTATTATGGGAGAAAACAAACCAGATTCGAGTGGAGGAGGAAATCAGGAAGAAGCGGTGGAAGTGGATAGGACACATCTTGAGGAAAGCATCTAACTGCGTCACAAGACAAGTCATCACTTGGAACCCCCAAGATAAAAGGAAAAGAGGGAGACCAAAGAACATATTACGCCGAGCAATATCGAAAGATATGAGAGGAATGAACAAACATTGGACTGAACTGGAGAGGGAAGCCCAGGACAGAGTTGGTTGGCGAAAACTTGTGGGCGGCCTATGCTCCATTGTGGGTAACAGGCGTAAGTAAGTAAGCTTTCTTCCGATCTACTCCTACACTACAAAACATCACTCATTGAGGCACTCAGCGATTGGGCATATGTATCACATATCCCAACCATCTCAACCGATGAAGTTTCAATATCTCATCTATTAATCTGTCGTCCTTACCTAGTATTCGTTTCCTAACTAGAGCATTGTTTACTCGATAGTTCCAAGATAAACGAGCAAGGCTTCGCAGACACCTATGATTGAAAACCAATAACTTTTACTTGCCATGTTTCGCATCCATGTAGTAGGACAGAGCGAACTGCTGCTCAGTAGACTCGTTCTTTGGTTAACAGACAGATATTTAGCCTACACCATAAGTGACACAAGTTGGCAATAGCCATTCGAGTCTTCTGTATGTGTGCTGAGATTTTGTCAGTCATCAGGCCACCAGCACTGATGAAGAAACTCCAGATAAGTCAAGCAGTCAACATGCTCATCTGCTTCACTTCTTATCCACCCAATCCTGAAGCAACATTTTGCATTTTTAAGGGTAAATATCACATCCCGAACATGTTTGCATTGTTGTTCAGTGTGGTCAGAAGACTCTACATTTTGTTCAGCATCTTCACCAAATAGAGCTATGACGAAACAAAACTGTCCATACTACCACCTTCCTAATGAACAACAGTTGTTTCGGTGAAGTTTTAACTGTCGACTTTTTTTATACTCATTGTACCAAATGATTTCAAGTGATTGTCACAGGTTGCCCCACCTGTGTTATCCTTCACTACATTTGGTGTCGCTGCCCGCTCGAAGGAAGGAGCTCCCGTGGCCGAAGGAGTTGGAGGACGGAGATTTGCGGAGCTTCCTGGAGGAGTTTGAGGCCGCGGTGGAGCTGGTGGGTGTGAAGGGGCCCGGGGTGGAGTTGGCGGTCCTTGGGACGCTGCGGGGAGGTGAGGCGAGGTCGGTATACGACAGCCTGGACGGTGCCGCCGGGAAGATGGCGTGGGAGACGGTCACCGGGCGGCTGATGACGGAGTTCGACAGCCCAGTGGACAGGGAGGAGGTGCCGCAGAGGTTCCGGTTTGCGGGGCTGTCGGCTGATGGTGACCCGTTTGTGCTGGATGTGTAGCTCACGAGTTGTTGGCGTCGCAATTTATCGAGAGTGTGCCTGCCGCCGTGTCTCAGCAGAGGGAACTAGTAAACGTTACACGTTGGATAGATGCCGTATCCATTCCAAACCAGCGGGCAAGAACAATGACCGAAGTGGTAATCCGGCATATTGTAGCGAGTCAGGGAATACGGAAGGTGATATTAACTGACCAGGGTCCCTGTTTTGAAAGTGTCGAGTTTAAAGCCCGTCTAAAGCAGTTTGGCGTCAAGAGGATACGAACTACACCGTATCATCCGCAGATAAACGGGCTTACGGAGAGAAGACAAGAAGAAGCGCGTAAATGCTAGATGGTCAGGTGCATGAGTCATGAAAAGCACCAAAGATGACAACGGTACGGCAACAGCTTATTAAAAGGGGAGACGAGTGTGGTGCGAGCTACTTATAAGTAGTATATGACGTGAGTGTCAACGTAATGTCTGACAGCAGCAGAAGATGGGGGGGAGGAAGATCAAGAGAAAGGAATAGTGGGAACACAATGGAATTTGTACGAAACGCATGAATACTGAGTGACAATGGATTGATGTTGTGTTTGCAACAGGAACAGTCCAGTTCAATATGATGAACTGATATTTTGCAAATGAACGATTTACGATATGGTTTTCCAATTTCACTGTTGATTATTTCATTGTGTGTTATTTTGTTTTTGTTAGGTTAGTGTTGTGCCAACAATAATATCTATGAAAAATGGCAAAGAAATTGAACGTTTTGAAGGTGCCAAAGAAGAAGAATTCATTCGACGTAAAATTGAAACTATGCTAGCATATAATGGCTAAGAGAAACAAGAAAAAAGAGAAACACTCAATGTGT